CGGCGTGTGAGTGTACCGTGGTGTCCTCTGTGTGACATGTATGGCTCCATCTCGGGCTGCTCGCCGCGGCCGCCCTGCTGCTGCCCCTGACCCTGACCCTGCTGCTGCTGCTGCTGCCGATCCTGCTGCCGATCCTAGACAGACAGACAGAGCACATCATTTCAGACGAGCCACACATAGATGTGCTGACTGTGTTGCTGTGGTGAGTGTGAGTGTGACTGTCACCGTCTGTCTGGTGGAGGGCGTCTGTTTGGGGTCGATGAAGCTCACATCCCAGACCTTCACCATGCCATCCTAAGTGCAACACAGCAAACAGGAGAGAGAGAGAGAGAAAACCGTGATGAATGATCGGCGTTCCTCTCCCCCTCCCCCATGCTCACGTCAGCTCCCGAGAACAGGAGAAAGTTGTCGCCGTCGAAGGCAATGGTCCTGACGCCGTCGAGGTGCGTCCGCAGTACCGTCTGGCTGCGCCACTGCATCACCGCCGGCGGACCCTGCGCACGGCTCCCCCCCTCACGCACACCCTGCTGCTGCTGCTGCTGGGCAGCCGCCTGAGGTGCAGCAGCAGCAGCCGCCTGCTCTTCGCCCCCCTCTCTCTCCCCGTCTCTGTCTCTGTCCCTCTCGCTTGTGAGTAAGGTGAATCCCCCGCCGCTCTTATCGTCGCCAATGACGGTCTCCTTCACAATGACCGGGTAGCTGGCATGGGGCCCCTCGCCCATGGCCATCACACTGACACCACCAGCAGCAGATGAAGATGAGCCCGCGGCGGCCTCCGCGCCCTGCTGCTGCTGCTGCTGCTGCTGTTGCTGCTGCTGGTGCTGGTGCTGCTGGTGTCGCGATGAGGGAGAGCTGCCTGTGCTGCTTTGGGAGAGGGCGGAGGGGGGGGACTGCTGCTGTTGCTGCTGCTGCTGTTGCTGTTGGGCCTGCTGCTGTGCTTGTTGCTGAGCCTGCATGAGGGTGTGTGCGGCGGCGGCGTGTGTGTGGATGTACTGCGGTGGCGGCTGGGCGGTGTTGACGCGGATGATGCCGCCGAGCTCGGGGAGCGACTGAAGAGCTGAAACACACAAGAGGGAACAGAGAGCGTGTATGTTTGTTGTGTCCTCTGAGGTGGCTGACTCTGGTAGTCGGCTGGCACGGGCATGCCGGCGAAGGCCTCGGCGCTGCGGCTGATCCATAGATACGATCGACACACAGAGGGTTCAGAGGGAGACAGACAGACAGTGTTGCATCAGCGCTGTGGCTTTGGTGCTGCGGGTGGGTGCTTTGGTGCTCTGGGTACATTCGTTGTTCCTCGCTCCAGGTGAGCACTTCGGGGATCTCGCCCTCAAACTCCTCTACACCATACCAACCATACCAGCCAGACACATCACATCCACCACCACACACCATCCCTCTCTGCCCTTTGCCTTGCCGGCTCCCTCCCTTACGTTTGATGCTCTCGAGCAGCTTCTTGAGCAGCTCGTCATTGTCCAAGTTGCCATCGTTGCGCAGGAAACTGAATGACCACACACAACACACAGCGGCCTCCTGTCGTGTCGTGTGTGTGTCGGCTTCTGTGTCCGTGTGTGTGTGCGGTGGGGTGCGCACTTTCTGAGTATGAGCAGGCTGCTACGGCAGCGCTTCGTCGGCAGCAGGCCTTTAAAATACCGCAACAAACTCAGAGACTCTGACAGACGGACCGACCGACCGACCGACACAGAGAAACGAGGGAATGACAAGACAGGACGCAGAGAGAGAGATACAAGCACGTCGTTGGTCCGCCCAGCTTACGTAGCGTATCGGCCATCTGCGGGACCTTCCGTGCGACCTCCTCCCAGGCCTCGTCAAACTGGCGCCGGAGGCCCTCCCCCTCAGCCACGCCATTGTCGTCCTCGACGCCATTGTCATGCTCATGCTCATGAGGGTGGGAGTGCGGGTGAGGCCCATCGTCTTCACGATCACGATCACGGTCACCTCCACCACCCTCCAGCTGCCCCTCTCTCTCCTGCTGACCCATCATCGTGTCGCCGTCCAGCCTCTCACCCTCGTCGTGTGTGTCCTCATCCACCCCACCGCCACCAAGACCACTCAGTGGGACGCGCCGGTCCTCCTGCTGCTGCTGGAGCTGCTGTTGCAGCTGCTTGCTGCCGGGCTCAATGACCTCCATGCCCTCACTCTCGCCCTCGCCAGGCACAGGAACCGTACCACCACCACCACCAGCACCACCACCAGCAGCAGCAGTACCGCCGTCAGGCTCACCGTCCACCGATGCACCACTGGGGCCGCTGGGGGTGGCGGCCTTTGTGGCTGGGCCTGCCGCCGCGTGACCACCGTGTGTGGCGGGTGATGGCCTGGGCTGCAGCTGAGTCTGTTTGGCGGGTCTGGCGTGTGTGAGAGAGGTGCGGGACGGCCGGGGGCCGTTGTGTCCGTCGTGGTCGCTGTCGCTGTCGGGTCGCGGCGGACGGGGGGGACCAGAGGACGGGCCAGGGTCACTCTGACGCACAGCACACACAAGGGGGGAGAAAGAGAAAAAATGCGTCTATGTGGGAACGATCGATGCCCGTCTGTCTGTCTGTCTGTTCTCGTGTGTGGTTTGGTTTGGTTTGGTTTGTTTGGCTGCTTACGGGAGGGAAGGCGCCCCTCTCGCGCTCTGCAAAGTGCTGAGCGAGCCGCGCATACTTGACCCTGACAGACACCAAGAAACCACCAAAGGGACGATGCGACGATGGATACGACATCCCGTCAGCACGCGCGTCGGTGTGTGTCCCTGTGTCCCTTTGCCACCTTTCCTGTCTGAGTGCGAATTCGAGCATGCGTATTCGCCTGACTAAGTCGGCGTTGAGGCTCTGCTGGCCGTTCAAACGACCCCGAAGGAAGGCTACCTGGTGCTGGCAGGAGGAAGGAAGGGAATATGTAAGCCACACACAACAGACAGACGCACAACACAACACAACGCAACACAACACAACACACACAAGACCGGAGACCAGCATGGACAAACGATAGAAGCTATCTATCTCTTTGCCTCGCTGCCGTCAACACAGCGCAGACAGCATCACACCCATCTCTCTCTCTCTCTCTCTGTGTGTGTGTGTGTGTGTGTGTGTGTGTGCGCCGCGCCATCCATCCATCCATCCATCGTCGATGCATTCCCGTCGTGTGGGTACCTACCTCTAGCTCAGCTTTTTCGAATATGTGGTCGGCCCGCTCCCTCTCCACCTGCGACTTCCACTCGTTGATTTCCCGCAGCAGTCGGTCGATGTGCGGCACCTCACCCTCCCTCCCGCCTCCAGACATTCTCACAACACCGGATTGAAGCGCCACAAGAAAGAGCTCGAGAACCAAACTAGTCAGCAGACGGCTCGACGCACGACACAGAGAGGGCCTGAGGAGGCCTCCACCCCTTCGGCTTCCAGATCTCACGACTCTCGCAGGATCGAGCAATGCGAGCTTTGTTACCGAAGGAAAGACGCTACCGACTCATTGAATGAGTGTGGCATTGAGTGCTCGGTGACGAGCAGAAAGAAAACGGCACATTTGATGGCGATCAAGGCGCTGTTCAGCGCTTCGATGGCAGCCGTGACAGTTGTGGCTTCGTCACGAGAGGCCTTCCTGCCCTCTCAGCTGGGGCACCGCACCCCTGACCCATCGCCGCCCCTCCGCGCCTTCCGACGGCAGCATGATGCAAGGCCAGCTGGTGTGCAAAGGAGGAGATCTCAGCAGAGGAGGAAGGAGGACGACGACGCGAGAGGCTCAGCAAGATGGAGAGAGGAGGATTCGCACCCTGGTGGTGGTGGTGGTGGTGGTGACTCGCCCTTCCCCGCTGGGACGGAGCTGCTATATGGGCGGAACGTGGTGTATGCGGCGCTGCGGGCACGGCGGCGGACTGCCTATGAGCTGCTGGTGCAGGACAGCCTCCGTTACAGTGGCACGTCAGCTGAGAGCGGGGGTGGCCTGGTCGATCTATTGGGAGCTGCTGAGGAGGCTGACGTGGCGGTGAGGTGGTGCCCCAGGGTGGTGCTGAACGACCTGACAGGCGACCGCGCACACCAGGGGGTGGCTCTGTGCGCCTCCCCCCTCCCCCTCCCCGCCATCCCATGGCTCACACCGCAGCCACATGACGACAGCGGCACCACCCAAACCCAAACGATGCCCCTGCACATAGTGCTGGACCAGGTGGCGGACGTGGGCAACCTGGGTTCCATCTGCAGGTCGGCTTACTTCTTCGGCGCTTCCTCAGTGGTGCTGCAGTCGTCCTCGTCCGCCCGGCCGACCCCGGCCGCTTCCAAGGCCTCGGCTGGTGCGATGGAGCTGATCCAGCTGACGCAGACAGAGAATATCGGTCGGTTCCTGCAGCAGTCCCAGGCCAGGGGCTTTCGGCTCATCGGGGCGGCGGTGAGCGAGGGGGAAACTGACAGCGAGGGAGAGAAGGATGGGGGAAGGAGTGATGAGGGGAGGACAAGGGTGGATGGTGGACTTTTGCCGGGTGTTAGCGTAGTTGGTGTGGATGAGGTGTCCTGGGGAAAGTTGGACGACAGCCGTCCTGTGCTGCTGGTGCTGGGCAATGAAGGCAGTGGTGTGCGGAGGAGCGTCTTGGGGTGCTGCGATACTTTGGTGGAGATCAGGGGGGCACCATTATTACACAGGGGGGATGGTGGTGGTGGGGGTGGGGGTGTGTTGCTGGACAGTCTGAATGTGGGTGTGGCGTGTGGGATTCTGCTGCACCACCTGCACGCCCAGTGGACTAAGAGGACCGAGTGAGTGAGTGAGTGAGTGAGTCTGTGTGCGTTGAATGAACGCCGTATGTCCCAACACACACCAAACATCCATCACACACATGGTCAGTCAGTCAGTCGGCCGGTCCGTCGACTAAGTCGTGATTCGTCCGTCATTGACTAGTTAGTTGCACTGCGGGGTGTCCCTTTTCGCCTTGACGCGCCTGCGCCTCTCGTCCTCCATCGCAACCACATCGTCAAACCTGCACCGAACGTCGTCGTCATCATGGTGATGGTGACATCCACCCACCACCCAGTGCAGCAGATAGAGATACGCCTTACCACGAGTGGTGCTCGCACTCTGTCCTGCCGTAGGTGGCCACGTTGGCCCTTGCCAGCTTGAGCCACAGGTGCAGCGTGTCGGCTGCGCATGGATGGACACAGCACAGCACAGACACCACACAGGAAGATGATGTGGCTGTGGCTGGTTGGCAGGTGCTCTGCTCACTTGGGATGGATCTGTCCCTGCCCCGCTCCTCGGCGAACTTGGCTGCTATGCGATCCATCTGCTGCACATGACACATGACACATACACCGCCATACATCGGAGACATGAGCATACCAACCGGCGTGTGTCGGCCGGTCTCGTTCCTTTGGTGGCTTACGTCTTGTGTGAGGTTGAGGGGCTTGTCGTGGGAGCGGGACTTGACCACTGTGAGGTAGAAGCTGCATTTCATTTCGTCAACACACAGACATACATATTACACAACGATGAGCCTGTGTCCGTGTTTCTTGGCTACCGCATCTGGTCCAGCATCGACTCGTCAACCTCTACTACTGACGGGCTGACGTCCCTGCCGATGTCATAGCCCTGACACGAGACACATACATACAATAACGGCGTTGATGGCTGGAGGGATGGTTCGTTGAGACTCCTGTGTGTGTGTGTGTGTGTGTGTACGGGCAGCGGCTCTATGGGCAGCGCGACGTCCACAAACTTGAGCAGCGACGAACCTATAGCCAGCCACCGGCGGGCAGCCAGAGACGCGACACGTGTGCACCAATCCAATCGGTAGCATACCTACCTGTGGCGATGGCAATAAAGTTGAGGTCGACGCTGTAGTCCTTCCGATACACGCCGTAGTCCACCTCTACCAGGCCCTGAGACACCTGGTCATACAGGTGCAGACACTCTCTCACAATAATTATCCTCTGCGTGTTTGCACACAGACGTACACATCTGTCGAGGGCCATGAGGTTGGACAGCCCAGGGGGGTGCAGCGTGCCTGACAAGACAAGCCATCCCAGCCGCCCCATCCACCCCATCGATCCATCCATCTCCGCCCGCACCCCCACACACACACACCTTCAGTCATGAGTGTCTCGTCGAGCAGCACCAACGTGCCATCGGCCAAGGCCAACACGCCCGGCACCATGTCGTCAGTGTCCAGCCCGTCGTGCTTGGCCGACGCCACACGCATCTTCTGCAAAGCCTCACGGGACATCGGCAACCTCACCACGCGACACACCTGCATGACCGACACCAAGGATGAGCCCTCACCCTCTCTGTGTGGCTGTCTGTGTGTCTTGCCAGTTGCTCTATGGAGTTGATGAGGCGAGACTTTGTGTGTGTGTTGGCCATGGTGGGGTGTTGGATGCTCAGCGAGAAGGGGTTGACCCTCTCGCCACGACGATTCTTGTACCAACTGCACACACACACACACACACAGAGAGAGAGAGAGAGATGGCACGCCGTCTGTGTGTTCACAGACAGGCACCTTGCGGCGAGGCTCCACAGCACGTAGGTGGCGGCCAGCTCGTCGCCACCCAGACACCTATAGCGCCACAGAGACACACAAAGAAGGGAACACGGCAAGAGGTGATGTCTCGCCTCCCAGCCCCCCCTACCCTGCTATGTGTTTGATGATCCTCCGACGCATCATGGCGAAATCCAACCCATTGCTACGGGCCTGACGCCACACACACACAGGCCGAACTTTGGTCGTTCGTCCCTCTCTCCCTCTCTCTCTCTGTGCGTCCACCAACAACACAACACAACACAACACACCTCGACATCTGCCGTCGGTGTGTATGCCAGAATGGGCGAGTAGTGCTGCAGCGTCCGCACAGCGATGGCGTGGATGACGTGCCGGTAGGTCTTGTTGCTGCTGCTGCTGTTGCCATAACTGCCGTCCTCCCCAGAGGTGTCTTCGGGGTTGCTGCTGCTGCCGCCGCCGTCGACGTCTGCTGTCATGAAGGGCTGGTACCATGGGTTCCACGACGCCTTGACGCACTCCCCACCGCTCCTGCAGGCAGGCAACACACACAAACGCAAAAGGTCTTTGTTGGCACCATGGGTCTCCTCTCGCACGTACGTGTCCGGCAGGTCCACAGTTTTCTTCTCGTAGACACCTGCGTAGGTCGAGAAACGTAGTTCGAGGGCGACAAGCGGCGACCTTTCCCCTCTCCCTCTTTGCTTTGCCTGCCTATACCTACCGATGACTTCGACGGTTTCATGCAGCTGCAGGCCGGCCCGAACGAGGGGGTGGCTCTCCTGCGGCTCCCTGTCCACCAGCACCACACACGACGACCCACTCGTGTCACCACTACCGGCACCTGTGGGCATCGCATCCCATCCCCAAACCCAAAAGGCGACGGAGGGAGGAACAGATAATTCATGAATCCCTCCCTGCCATGGCATACGCACCTTCATCGTCTCGGCGCTTGGCCCACTGTGTTTGGCCAGGGATGGGGATGAGGTGGTGTGCTTGCATGTGCGTGACGCAGCAGTCCCGCAGCGAATGGGCGGCCCCTGACCAGTGACGGGAGGCGTCGTCGTGCCTGTACTTGACCACCTTGTAGCCGTCGCCATCGGCGGATGGGTAGGCCGTCACGAAGATGCGGGTGTTCGAGTCGATGTCGGAAGCCATGCCACGAAAACGCACCAACGTGCCGTCGGCTACCTGTGTGTGTGGCCGGCAACACATACCGTCCATCCATCCATCCATCCATCCTTCTTTGTGCCAACACGGTGCGTTACCACCTCGTTCGTCGAACTGAAAAATGGCACATCTGCCCAATTCTGTGGCTGATCCAGCTGCAGCCGGTCAGAGAACCATCCACACTCGCCCCCTGAACGAACCCACCCACAGATCCACCCATCACAGTCATCAGATCTACCAGATCTGCGAATGTGCCTTTCCCGACCGTGTGTTGGTTTGCCGTTCTGATCCCTCGGGCAGCGCTTCCACAGGTCGTCGATGATCACTAGTGGGCGCGCCAGGACGTCCGCATCGCTGAATGACATTTGCATGGGAGATCTGCGCTAAGCTCCGAGCTCGCCGTCTCGGGGGCGGGGTGTGGGGCCCGCAGTCTCGAGAGGACTGCCAGCGGCAGTTGTCGCAAACGCCGACCGCATTGCGTGTCGGCTGTGGTGTGCGTCCCTTCAGCAACCATTACGAAAGTGAGGATATTCCGCCAGCGTCAAGAGAGCTGAATTGGTTTGCATGTAGAGAGTCCTCCACGCTCTCGTGCTGCGCTCAAAAGCGCAGCTCACGCGTCGGTTGTTCGTCTGTTTCTCCTCCCTTGCTGTGTGTGTGTTTATCAGATACACGTTGCTCAAGTAGGGGGAGACGGGATGGCACACAACCAGGCGCCAACAACCGTCGTCGTCGTCACGGACGAAAAGCCCGGCCGCCAAGGTCTTGTCGAAACACGCCATGCATCATCCCATGTGTGATCTTCCCTTTGTCTGTATGTGTGTCTGTGTGGTGGCATGCAGGCGTCGGTACGAGCGCAGAGGACGGCGAGGAGTTCCGCAAGGGCGGCAAGAACGATGTCAGCAACGGCCCCGTCAAGAAGCGCCACTGCACCGACATCCTCTGCTGTCTCCTGTTCATCGCACACGTGGTCGGCGTCATCGCCATCGCCAGCGTGGCCTTCTCAAAGGGAAACCCAAACAGACTCATTGCTGGACAAGTAACGCTCGGGCAACACCAGCACAACACATAGATGGCCCCCTTTGTCCGTCCGTCTGTCTGTCTGTCTGTTAGGACTTCGAGAACAATTTCTGTGGGGTCAAGGACAAGAACATTGATGATGACAAGGCGGATTACCCCCTCCTCTACTTCACCCTCAACACCGAAGAGCTCGGCAGTGGCTTCCCGTACAATGAGCCCTCAAAGTGGGCCTCCACCCCCGAGATCGACGTCACGAAGTTCTCCACCTTCTTCAGAGCCGTCTGCGTCAAGAAATGCCCCTGCTTCAAAGACGTTCCGGTAACTGACCGAAAGGGAGGGTTCCGATGGAGACACTTCATTACCATGGTCTTGCGTCTCGTTGTTGTTCGTCAGATAGAGAAGGATTCGACAAACAACGAGACGGAGACGGAGACGCCTGACTGCCCCAGCAAATCCAAGACGGTGACGTCATTTCGCAACTACACTCTTTGGGGTGTCTCCGGTCAGCCCGAGCTCCCCGCACTCGATGAGTCCCTCTGCCCATATGCTGAGCAATACTGCGTACCGGTGCCCTCAACCACAATCTCCATCGCAGGCCGGTGAGCCTGCCTACCTGCTTGTTGAATGGCGTCCATCTCTCCTGTTTCGTGTCTCTCTGCCCACAGCTACTGCGTTCCTGAGCTGTTTGACGCGGGTGAGGCCAAGGACGTCGCCGATTACCTGCCGTCCGGCCTGGTCGACTCGTGGACCAACTTCGTGGGCGACATCATCGTCACCTGGCCCATCCTCGCCATCAGCGGCATCATCGCCCTCATCATCGGTATGCTCTACCTGATCTTCCTCCGGTACTGCGCTGGCGTGATCGTCTGGGTGGCACTCCTCCTGGTGTTCGCCATGTTCGCCGCGGGCGGGGCGGCGTGCTACGTGTACTCGCCTGAGATGGACGGCAAGGCGTACCAGGATATGCTGCTGTGGACGGGCTACGTCGTGTGGGCTATCGGCGCGATAATATTCCTGATCACGCTGTGCCTGTGCAAGCAGATCCGGCTGGGCATCGGGATCGTCAAGACGGCGGCCATGTTCATCTACAACGTGCCGACGGTGCTGCTGCTGCCGATCACATTCTTCCTGCTCACCATCGTCCTCTACGCCGTCTGGCTCACCATCACTCTCTTCATCATGAGCAGCGTCGACCTCGAGGAATCTAACAAAGGTCGGCTTCTCGCATCCTTCCTGGACACACCCACACCTGTGTCTCTCCCTGTCTCTCTCTCTCTCTCTCTCTTTCTTTCTCCCTGTGTGGGCAGGGAAGCGCTACAGCTGGAATACCGACACCCAGCGGGGGTTCGCCTTTGTGTTCTTTTCGCTGCTGTGGACGAACGCCTTCCTGATCGGCATGAATCAGATGATCCTGGCGGGTGCGGTGGGCATCTGGTACTTCACGGCGCCGGACGCCAACGGCAACAAGAAGCCACGGGGGGCCGTCAAGAGGGCGGCGTGGAACGCCTGCTTCTACCACATGGGCAGCGTGGCCTTCGGGTCGCTCATCCTCGCCATCATCCAGTTCATCAAGTACTACCTCCAGTACCTCGCCAGACAGGCCCAATACGCCGAGAAAAACCCTTCAAAGGTCAGACAGAAAGAGACAGAGAGAGAGAGAGAGAGAGGGAGGGAGGGAGAGAGGCCTCTTGTGTGTGTGTGTGTGTGTGTGTGTGTGTATGCAGGCGTGCGCGGCGTGCAGCCCGTGCGGCATCGGTAAGCTGCTGAGCGGCGTGAGCATCGCCAACATGGTGTACGTCAAGCTCCTGCTCTGTATGGCGTACCTGGTGGCGTGCTTCGAGCGGTGCATCAAGTTCCTCAACAAGAACGCCTACATCCAGGTGGCCCTCCTCGGCAAGAACTTCTGCAGATCAGCGTGGGCCGCCTTCTGCCTCATCCTCCGCAACGCATTCCGAATCGCCGTACTCGCAGTCGTCGGCAGGGGACTCAGGTGAAGCTTCAAAAGAGAAAACCTGTTCACACACACGGAGAGAGGGAGACACAACCAAGGGGAGAGAGGGAGGGAAGGTCTCCCTCTTTGTGTGCTGTGTGTTGTGGTCTTGTGAAGGTACCTGGGTCTGTTGGGCATCGTCGCGGCATCGGGTGTGGTCGGTTTCTTCATCACTGAGGCGTGGAAGGGCGACGAGATCTCGTCGCCCATCTTCCCGACCATCGTCTACTGCCTCATGGGACTCGTCATCGGGGCGACCATCATGGTCCACACCCAGCTGCACTCCCACACCCATTCTCTCTCTCGTGTGCGTGTGTGTTGTGTGTGACAGGACGTGTTGGCGATGTCGATAGACACGACGCTTCAGTGCTTTGTGGCGGACGAGGAAATGAGCGGCAAGGGCCAGGGCGGCGAGTTCACCCCCCCACCGCTCAAGGCACACATTAGCCGGCCGCAGGAGGGCGGCGGCTGCTGCGGGGGCGGCAAAACCGTCGACTGAGATGCCTTTTACGTCTGTTTGTGGCCTGCGCTGCTTGATGCCTACCTGGTTGGTGTTTGTTTGTCACACTGATCGATCCCGACCGACTGACTGCTGCAGATTAGATGGATCATGGGTGGATGAATGGATGAATGGATGGATGGGCCAGAAGGGTGTTTGCCTGCCTGCCTGCCTGCCTGCCGAGTGGCAGTGTTTGAGTTGCTTCGTTGTCATTGACTGCTTGCTTGATGGACTGAGAGATTGTGTCAGTGAGAATCATATCTTCGTCACATGAGCATGATCGAGTTGAAGAATGAGTCAGTAGACAGACAGACAGACATGCAAGCAACACGCCGCTGTACACCACACCACACCACACGCAAGACCACAGGTCCCTTTCTTTCATGTCTCATGCCTCCTCCACGCCCTCTATACCGCCATTTCCAATGCGAAACCCACACCTAATGACCCGTGGATGGATAGATGGATGGATAGATCAGTAGAAGTCAACACACAGAGAGGAGAGAGAGAGAGAGAGAGAGAGACACTGCTATGTGCCTCAGTCTGTCTCTGTCTGGTTGGGTGTACAGGTACCTCTCAGGATGCGCGTGTGGTGCGAACTCGAGGTGGAACTGTCGGGGTGCGACCTCCCGCCCGCCACTCCAGCGCGCCTTGGACAGCATCATCCGGCAGTTGACACACGTCGACCACGCCATGCCCAGCGTCGGACGCACCTTCCCACGCCACACATCACAACCAACACAGAACAATACACGACACAGATGGATGGATGGCTGCCTGCCTGCCTGCCTACGAGTCTACCATAGCGTGTGATTGGTTGGCGTCGCCTCTGAATCCCCTGGGCAGCTGTGCGAGGGACACCTGGTTGGTCACAACGACCCACGCCGAATGGTTGGCGGCGATGCGCTTGAGCAGCGACGCCAAGATGAACAGAGACTCAGACCGAGCCGCCAGACCGCTGAATGCCGTAAACCACAGACAGACAGACAGACAGGGGAATGTTGGCGTGGCGTGGCGTGGCGGGCGTGGCGGGCGTGGCGGGTGTTTCTCTCTCTCACTGACTCCCTGTTGAGCCCCCGCTGTGGGACTCGGAAGATGGCTGCGATGGAGTCGATCACCACCAGCACCACCTGACGCACAAGCAAACGGGCAGGGAGGGCATCTGCAGATGAGACGAATGGGAAGGACTTACCTTGAACACACTCATGAGCAGGGGTATCTTGCTGCTCAGCACATACGACAAACGCTGCAAAGGTGCCACACATCAGAGAGAGACAGATGTGCTAATCTAAGGCCTTCATGCCCCGTCTGCCCTCTCCGGGCATCCCCTCCCTCCCTCCCTCCCTCCCTCGCTCCCCGCTCATCTCACCCCCTCGTCCTCGACGTGTTCCACATAGATGCGATCCATCAGTTTCCCCACACAGTGCTGCACCCTCTCCTCCAACTCACCACCCGCAACACCCCGGCTGGCATAGTGACGCCGCACAGACGACTCTGACATATGCATGAAACGCACACAACCCACCAGCACAACAAACAAACAAAGCCTTGTGTTCTCTCCCTCCGTGGTTGCCATCCATCCATGTCACCGACCGACGATGGGCGAAAGTCTTTCGGCAGGCAGCGAGCCCTCGGTGTAGATGTAGTACACGGCCGCATCTGTGGGCTGCCGACCCGACGAAGGCACGTCCAGCTGAGATACCAAGGCCTGCACACAAGAAAGGGATTTCAACACACCGAGAGAAGTGAGAGAACTGGCATGAGGCTGGCTCATGTGGAGTGGACCTGCGCCGTGAGGTGCATTGCCGTCTGCGTCTTGCCGCTGCCCGCCTCCCCCTGTGGGCATGGCAGCGCAGACAAACACATTGATGGTTCCCACTGCAGATGGCCAGTGGAATAAAGGCCGCAGCTGCACCTCACCGTGATCTCCGCGATGCATCCAGACGGGATCCCACCCCTGCAACACACCACACCACACCAAACAGCCGGCCAGATGAGCGCCTTAGACACACCACATTCGCTCACAGGAGGATCTGGTCGATGGCCCTCACGCCGAAGGCCAGCTTCTTTCTGCCGCAGAAAAAGAGAGACCAGCATGGCCACCATTCATCCATCCATCCATCCAAGACGCAGATCTGGCCAGATCTGTCCTTGCCTTGGTCTGTAGAGTGCCGGTACGTGCGCCGCGATGTCTGATGCGGGGCGAGACCGCCACCACGATGGCCAACGGATCTCCTGAAACTCCTGCGGCTCATCAGAACGGCCATCGTCGTCGCAAATCATGGACCGGATGTATTTACACGGAGGCGAGCTTCTTCGCAAGCTCGACATCTCGCAGAGAAGAAAGCCGCATGATCAGCCTATGCACCAGAACCGGCGGAAGCGCCGCGAAAAGCCATTTCGGGGAAAGATCTCAGCGGATCGCGAGCTAAGCTTGCAGAGGTCGCTGCAGAAGACAGATCTCCGCACCAAAACCACACGCGTCGCCCGGCAGGTAACACGCAGATCCACTGGCGAAGGAAGCGCTTCATTTCGTCACCTCTCTGCCTTCCTCATTCATGCAGCTTCCTTGCAGCACGCATCCATCCAGGCGGCCTGCCTCGTGTCCTGAAACCACACAACCGACACAGCGAGGTAAGAAGGAAGTGGTTTAACAGTTTGACTGACTGGCTGTGACTTCGGAGCTTGGAGGGGACGAGAGAACCCGCCGCCATGGGCAACACGAACACGCTTCCTATGGTTCGCCATCTGAGTGAGGTCCATGAGTGTTACCGGCCCTCAAAGAAGCATTGGGGGATAGTGGAATACCTCGTCGACTGGCAGTACGCACGGGACAGAGAGGAGGGAGTTGGGCACCCAGACTGAAAGACATGCACGGAGGCAGGCAGACAACTGCACGACACAACACGACACAGAACAAGCACTGTCTGTCTGTCTGTGTGTCTATTTTGCCGTCCATCAATCAGGAAGCGTCAGGCTCGATTGAGAGCGCTCACAACTCCCCCTCAGGGTGCTGGTGCAGCGGCCGCCGCTCCGCCACGCGTGCCGGACCAAGACGTACCTGACATGCCCATCCCACCCCGTAAAGCACACCGGGCACCGATGGATGCTGTGTTCACCGTGTATTTTCCCTTTCAGATGTTTTTTCGGCTGAGGTTCAAGCTGTGCGCGCGGATCTGTCCACGATACAGACAACACTGTCCACGATACAGCAAAGACTGCGAACACTACAGCCTCCTGCCGCCCTGCCGTCACCTCCCCAACCGCGTGAACCGGACGGTACTCAGTCACGTGTGCCGGACGAGCAGCGCCCACTGCTACACAACGTGCAGCCACTCTACCCTGCCCTATGACCTTAAGGCCTCTCTCTCTTTCTCTGACGTGTGCTGCCTCGGCGTGTATCCATAGGGAGACACAATCACGTCTGTCTCTCTCACACACACATCCAGGCGGGAATGTATGTTATGTGTACGGCTTTTTTCTTGCTCCGGCCCGGCTGGATGTGTGTGTGATAGCGAGAGAGACGGTGTTAGGTGGTGGCGGGCGGGTGTTAGTGATGACTGGACGTGGATTGGTGGTAGGGTAGTGTGATGTTTGAGTGAGTGAGACTCGGCTTCATGTCAGGCTCTTCCATCCATCCATGGTTTTTTTTCCGCCCGTTGTTTCTCCTTGTCCAGTGCATGTCTGTCAGGTGCTTCTCAGTTGCACCTTTTAACAAGTCAGTCCTCGTGGGGGATCATGTGATTCACTGCAACAAAGGCCAACGGGTGGTTGAAAATCACACACAGCAAATGGTATGTGTGTACTGCACTGCTGGCGGGGAAATGGAAAGAATTGGAGGGGGACACACACAGTGCTCACACGCCTTTCTGGTGGAAAATCGCCAGCCGTTCACTCACGACGAATGCATCACGTCTGTCACATCCACACCATGCAATCACGCAACTGTTTGGTCCCATCACGGGGGTCATGTGAGCGGCGGAGCACTCACTCAAACACGTACGCACACGCAGCCGAACAAACGGCACCCACCAGCAACGGTGACCCTGCACTGCCGCAAGTAAAGGAGAAGACGGCGAGGCGCCTTCCCTTCCCTTACGACGTCCCCTGGTCAGCCGATACAGGTGGGCGCCCCGACACGGACAAGACAGCCAGACGACCAACCACCGACCCACCCACTGCACCCACCCACCATGCAGAGGACGAGGACCAGCTGCACGCCGAGCATCCCCGAGTAGAGGTGCTGTCGGTATGTGCGCTGGCCGTCTTGTCTGCATGTATGGGTGTGTGCCTGTGAGTGAGGTTCATTCCTTGCTTGATCGATTGATTTACTCCTCGTCCTCCTCCTCCTGGTCGCCCTCCTCGTCGGCCTCTTCGGCGGCCTCGCCCGGGCCGGCCTTCTGCTTCTTCAGGGGCAGGCCCTCTGCATAGGTGTTGAAGGCGTCCATCATCTGCACACACACACACAGACACACACCCACACACATGAAGACCCTCGTGTCCGTCAGTGTGTCTGTCTGTGCATCTGTGTAGGTTAGGTACGCACCTCCTGTCGGTATTTCTCGTCGACGGCGTCGAACTCCTTGGCGGCCTCCTCGCGAGCACGCTTCTGGCTCAGCAACGCCTCACGCTAAACAAGAGGCACGCAGTCACACAACATAGGCAATGTGTTGCGATGTGTCCCTCCTGGCTGGTCCGATGCCATTCAGAGTGTGTGTGTGTGTGGGTGCGCACGCACCTCGGGAGTGCCCTCGGTCTGCTGCAGGCGGGCCAGGGCCTTCTTCTCCAGAGCCGCAGGGTTCAAACGAGCCAGCACGCTCCTGAACGAACCACACACACAGCCAACCATGGCCCATCCATCCACGAATCCACCCTGTGTGTGGCTTACAGGTTCTTGAGGGGGTTCTTGCGCATGCCGGTGCGCTTGGGCGCCATCCGCATGGGCTTGACGACCGACTGGATCTCGCTCGAGTTGATCAGGCGGGCCAGGTCGGCGTTGCCCAAAGCCGGACGGGGCAGGTGGTAACCCTTCTTGAGCACACTACCAGACCTGATTGAGTGACAACACATACGCACGCAGCCAACGCATGAAGGCGTAGGTGGACGGTGAGTGTACTGTGTGGTGCCGTGTGGTGTGTTGTGTTGTATTGTGTTGTGGCGGCTCACCTGTAGGTGCCGAACAGAGGTGTCAGCTTGGAGAAGGCAGACTCCGTCCTGCAGCCGACACACATCCGTCCGTCCGTCCGTCTGTCTGTCTGTCTGTGTCTGCCTCTGTCGCATGCATGGACCAACCAGATGACGAATCGGCCGATGGTGCCGCCGGGTGCGAGCTGGAGCAGATTCAAACGGTCGATCGAACACAACTCAACACCTGCACACACAGACAGACAGACAGACAGACCACATGGGCACAAGGTGGGCTGGTGCCGCGCGTGTGTGTGTGTTTGCCCACCAGGGATGTTCCTGAAGGCTCGCACAATGCCGTTGTCCTTCTCGTAGACGACCAGGGGGCCGCGACGGAGCACATAGCGACGGTTGCGCAGCTTGCCTGACACAACGAACGACCGCATGTGTGTGTGTGTGTGTGTTTGGGGTGTGTGCCTACCTCTGCCCGCTCGGACTTTCTTGGACTCCTTGACCTTGTCGAGTTCGTTGGTGGCGCCCACCTTGCTGAGGAACTCCATCGCCGTCTTGGTCTTGGCAACGTCCTGCACCTTGTCTGAAGCGCACACACACAACATTCAGGTGTGTGATATCCACCAACACCAATCCAGCTTGTCTGTCTGCTCCTGCGTCTCTCTGCGTCTCTCTCTCTCTGTCTGTCTGTGTGTGTGTGTGTGTGGCCTTCTGGGAGTGGTTGCTTACCGGCGATGACGAGTGGCAGTTCTGGGATGTCGCCGATCCGGTGTCCTCGGGCCATCACCAAGGGCGGCACACCGGTGGCAGCAACCGCAGAAGCCACCGCGTGACGCTTCTTGGTGACGTTCACCTGACGCACACAAGACAACACACCACATCCCATTCCCCTCTCCTCCTGGATTGCTCCCTCCTGTACCTTTCGGTGCCATCGTCGCCAGGTGGGGTTGGGATTGAACATCCCTCCACCGCGGCACATGTTGCCGAACGCACCCTGACCGCTGCGGTGGGTCCCGCCGCCCGGCACACGGGGAATGCGCGCCACGGCACGGCCAGTGCCCCACGACTCGGCCGACGAGCCGTAGCCGGCATCGAGCACCACGCCGTAGGCCTGACGCTTGTTCTTGTTGACGTCACGGTGGACCTCACGCACAAGGTCGGGACGGATGGGCGAACCGAACACCGCGGGGGTCTTGACCGTCTTGTCGAGCGACTCTCCGGAGAGGTCGTACACCGTCACCGTTGGCCTGCAGGGCATGGGGCACACACACACAGACAGAGAGGGCACATCAGCTCGTGAAAATGTCGGCCACCCAGAAAGCGGGCTGCACGCTGATCTGACGCTGCCGCCGCCCTCTCCCTTCCTCCCTTGCTGTCTGTGGTGCTCCCATCCCTGGCTGTCTGCCCTCCCTCCCTCCACCAGATCTGCCCGTCCTTCGCTACTGGCTCCGATGTGTAGCCGTGAAATGGCAGATGTCGACCGCGCCTGCCTCGTGTGTGACCCTGTACACCCTCCCAGCTTACCGCATCGTCATTTTGGCGACCTGGTCTGGTGTGCAAGCTTAGAAGAGATTTCCAAATAAGCTCGCAATCGACGAGATAACGATGACGGCGGAGATCTTTGCCGCAGTGCTATGCGCACTGCTGGGCCAAGGCGAGTCCTTTCTCCCCCTCCCCTCCCACCTTCGCCAGACCCTCTCCCCGCCATCATCCCCTCTTTCTCGCCGCTCCTTGTCGTCACTGAGGCGGTCACCGTCATCACCCCCGTCGGTGTCGGTGCTGCGTATGGGTGCGATAAACGTGGGTTTGAAGGAGTACCAGATCATGAAGAGGATGCGGATCTTCACCAAGGAGCAGGTGGACGCCTTCCACGACATATCGAGGAAGGACTGGCCCGTGTCCACCTATGTCCCCGAACAGTGAGTGCAGTGCAATGAGGCAGACAGACAGGCAAAGAGAATTCAAGCAAGCAAAGGGCTCACTCACCACACCGTCTCTCGTGTGTGTGTGTGTGTGTGTGACGTGGGTGCAGGTCTTTTGTGGAGTCTGAGATGCATCCCGTGATGGCTCGGATAGAGTTGGAGGAGGACAAGCTGACCGAGGAGGACAGGAAGAGCGACCCGGTGCTGGCACCCTTCTATGACGACGTCGACAGGCAACTCACCAGAGAGGTCAGTCAGCCCGGCAGCCAGCCAGCCAGCCACAGACAGGTATTCCGTTTCCTGCCGTGTCTTCCCTTTGTCCCTCAGGATTTCCTGCAGTCCCTGGTGGATTTGAAACACGTGTATGAGGCCTACGACAGCGTGATTGACAACTACGAGATGCTGGCCCCCCTGCAAGCCACCGGCCCCATGACGCGATGGGCATACCTCGAGGAGGACATCGACGCGCTCACCGAACTCATGGGTGTAAGCAATCAAGAAGCCAGTGGAATGGGGTGTCTGCAGTATGCACGCCTGCCTCATTAATGGATGTGTGTCCTTTGGTGGTGGTGGTGGGCGCGTTGTTTGTGTGCAGGTGGACGCCCCCGAGCCCTCAGAGGTGGGCGCCGGCTATGGTGACGAGATCAAGTCCATCGCTGCACGCAGCCAACCTGGTAGGTGCTCATGTGCACACACCGACCACCCACAAACAGCCAGCCCACTGAGGCTGGATGGTAACCTACCTTTCCTCTGTGTGTTACGTGTGTGGCATGTCAGGTGTGCTGGGTCACTTGTATAACTTTTACAAGGAGTGGGACATGGGCGGCCGGACGGTCATCAAGAGCACTGCAGCGCGCCTCAACATACCCAGGAATTTCAAACTGGCCAGAAGGGACGGCGACAGCTGGAATATCGCGGTGCGCATCCACACACACACACACACACGCACACAAAAGTGCAAGAATCCCTCTCAATCTCTCTCAATCTCTCTCTCTCTCTCTCTCTCTCTTTCTCTGTGGCTCTGTGGGCGTCCATCCTTCACTCAGGCCACGTTGGACGTGATAGCTGACAAGTGGACGCCCGAGCAGAAGGAGGAGTGCCTGACGGAGCTGAGTCGCGCCAACCAGCTGGCATCCCAGCTCGTCACCCTCCTGCACGGCACCGAAATGGAGGAGGAAGAAGACGAGGAGGGGGAGGAGGAGGGCGGAGAGGATAAGTGATCCGTGGGTAATGGCCTGGCCATACTGTTGCCTGGCGCCGAGACGACACCACAGTGAAGATGTGTGGGTAGATGAATGGTGCGGGGGGTGATGACGCTTTTTCCGTGTCATTGGTGGGTGGGTGGATGGATGGATGGGTTGACGGATGCTCGCGAAGCGGCCCTCTCTCTTGTCTGTGTCTCTCTCTCCGATAGATGCACATGTGTGGCACGCATCCATGGCCGGCCGACTCATCCCACTACCGACATAGTGGGCAGGCAGAGGCAGCTGGGTGCGTGCGTGCGTGCGTGCGTGCGTGCATTCATTGTGGTCTGCCAATGAAGCGAAAACTGCTCAACCAACGGGTGCATGTTGTTCATGTTGTTGTGAGGGACACTACACCCGTCCACACTACTTACTGTCTGGATAAAGACACGAGTCACGTCCATCCATCCATGTGTGTGCCCACCCATCTGGACATCGCTCCCCCCCGCACGCGACACGGATCCCCGCTGTCACTAAACCCCACTGGCAGCCGATTATACCTGAGCCTCTCGCATTGAGAGAAAGAACATCGATAGACACACGCACAGAACAGACTCATTCGTCAGCGTCACCGCATTGCTCAGACCAACACAGCAGCATTCTCTCCTGTGGTCTGCAGGCCACTCGGCGGCTGGCATAGCACTGCCGGCTGCCTCTCGCCGGCCGATAAGTGCGCTTGGAGAAGCGGCGGACACTCGGGGGCTGGCACCTCGACGCGCACCTGCCGGTGCGACGAATGGGAGGGTCGCTGGCCGGTGGCCGTGGTTGAGGACTCAGTGCACCAGCGATGGGAGCGCAGCCGGTAGAAGACAAAGATGTACAGGCCCGTCTGGACAATACCGCCCACCTGAGAGACAGAGGATGGATGGCAAGAATGCGCAAACGGCTCGGTGTTCCAGGCAGGCAGGCAGGCAGGCAGGCAGGGAGGCTGACCCATCCTATGGGGTTGACGTAGTGCTCGGCAAAGTACCGGTATATCTGACAGATAGATACCAGATAGATACAACACGCAATCCCACTAGTTAGTTGTGTGTGCACTGGATGTTCCCACCAACCCACCCACCCACCCAGTTGAGGATATAGAAGAACCTCCAGGCTCCCCTCGTTGCCAAAAACGCTGCTGTCAAGCTGTCGACCTGAATGAGGCGGGGAGGGGGGGGGGGGGGGGGG